CAATAACAGAAAAATAGCAGGAAAACCTCAAATATTTGGAGATTAAACAACATACTTCTAAATAACACATGAGTTAAAGAAGAACTCTCAAAAGAAATTAGAAAAAACATTCTGAACTAAATGAAATAAAGACATATTTATCAAAATTTGTGGAGTGCAGCAAAAGCAGTGCTTGGAGGGACATTTATAGCACTAAATGCATATATTAGAAAAGAAGAAAGATCTAATCTAATAACCTAAACTTCCACTTAGGAAACTAGAAAAAGAACACCAAATTAAATTTTAAGTAAGCAGAAGTAAAGAAATAATAAACATTGGAGCAGAAATCAATGACAATGAAAACATCAGTAGAGAAAATCAACAAAACCAAAAGCTGATTCTTTGAAAATATCAATAAAATTGATAAACCTCTAGCCAGGTTAAATAAAAAAAGATAAAAGGCACAAATAGTAATATCAAAAATGAAAGAGAGGTCATTGTCAATGATTTCATGGACATTAAAAGGATAATAAAGAAACATAATAAACAACTCTGTCCCCAATTTGATAACATACATGAAATAGACTAATTCCTTGAAAGACACAATCTACCAAAACTTACACAAGGAAAAGTAGATAAACTGAATAGACTTATCTCTGTTAAAGAAATTAAATCAATAATTAATAACCTTCTAAAACAGAAAACAACAGTCTCAGGTGGGCTCACTGATGAGTTTTACCAAATCTTTAAGAAAAAATGATACCAATTTTCTACAAATAAGCATAGGAAAAGATGCTTAACATCATATATCATTAGGGAATTGCAAATTAAAACAAAGAGATACCACTACACACCTATTAGAATGGCTAAAATCTGAAACGCTGACAAGACCAAATGATGGAGAGGATTTGGAGCAACAGGAACTCTCATTCTATGCTGGTGGGAATGCAGAAATGGTACAGCCACATGGGAAGACAGTTTAGCAGAATCTTATGAAAGAAAACACATTCTTATCATACAATCCAGCAATTGCACTCCTTTGTGTTTACCCAAATGAGTTGAAAACTTAAGTCCACACAAAAACCTGCACACAAATGTTTATAGCAGCTTTATTCGTAACTGCTAAAACTTGGAAGCAATCAAGATGTCCTTCAATAGATGAAGGGTTAAACAGACTGTGGAACATCCAGACAATGGAATATTATTCAGCAATAAAAATAAATGAGCTATCAAGCCATGAAAAGACGTGGAGGAACCCTAAATGCACATTGCTAAGTGAAAGAAAGCAATTTCAAAAGGCCACATACTATATAGTTTCAACTATATGACATTCTGGAAAAGGTAAAACTATGGAGCCAGTATAAAGGATCAGGAGTTCAGGGGGATGGGGAGAAGAATGAATAAGTGGAGCACAGGGGATTTTTAGGGTAGTGAAACTACTCTGTATGATACTAAAATGATGGATACATGTCATTATACATTTGCCAAAACTCATAGAATGCACATCACAAGGAGTGAACCCTAATGTAAGTTATGTACTTTAGTTAATAAGAATTCATCAATATTGGCTTATTAATCATAACAAATACACTACACTAATGCAAGATAAAATGTTAATAATAGGAGAAACTATGTGTGTGAGGAGGTGACAGGGTATATGGGAACTCTGTAATTTCCGCTCAAATTTTCTGTAAACCGGAAACTGATTGAAAAAATAAAGTCTATGAATAAAAAATAATCCCCTCAGAGTTATAGATTTAGAGTAGCTTCTGATTTCCTGGATAATCTGAATTTTTTTTTTTTAAAGATTGGCACCTGAGCTAACAACTGTTGCCAAACTTTTTTTTTTTTTTTTTTTTTTTGCTTTATCTCCCCAAATCCCCCCGGTATATAGTTGTATATCTTAGTTGCAGGTCCTCCTAGTTGTGACATGTGGGACGCCACCTCAACTTGGCCTGACGAGCTGTGCCATGTCCACGCCCAGGATCCGAACCAGTGAAAACCTGGGCTGCTGCAGTGGAGCGTGCAAACTTAACCACTTAGCCACAGGGCCGGCCCCTGGATAATCTGAATTTTGCAGTTGGCCAATTCTTTTTATTGATTTTCTCACATGAAACCTTCCTCTCACTTCTGAAAAAAAAGAAGCAACTCTGTTACTAGCAAACTTGTTCAAATTTCTTCTATCATTAATAAGTAAAATATAACAAAGCAAAACACTCCATGGACCCTGAAATCTGAAACCTCCTCTAAATAACTGTTCCCATCCTCAAAAATAATTTTTTACATGCCCTAGTGTTTGTATCCATAAACACACGCATATTCAAAAAAAATTATAAGAACATTGAGAGAGATATATTCAACTTGTAAAAAATGTGAGCACCACACAGAAAGCTCTCTATAACTATTGTTGGAAACAGCCCACGTGGTACTTACAGGGATATTCATTGCATTAAATAGATTTATTAGAAAAATGTTTAAAACATCTAAGCAATTCAAGAAGCTAGAGAAAGAATACCATACTAAACCCAAGGTAGAAGGTAGGAAATAATGAGGATAAATGCAAAAGTGATGAATTAGGAGACAGTAGAGCCAACTAGTGAAAGCTAGTTCTTTGAAAGGATTTATATAACAATTTTTATAAGTATTGCAATCACAAATGAAAGAAGCGGAAATAAGTGATATTAGATAAAATTGTGCAGAAGAGATTTAGCAATTTTAAGAGAACACTGTAAATAAGTATTACCAATATCTCAAGATAACAAATGGTGAACAAGGAAAATGTTCTACGTAAAGAAGAATTTCAAGTAATAAACTCTAAGGAATTTAGAACTGAGAGGACTCCCCAAACCCAGGACACAGGAATCCCCACTGCCAGCCCATGCTCTCACCCTGATAACACCCAGGCAGGGCTGTCTGTCTGTGGCCCAAGGCTCACTCTAACTTCCTCCACAGGGATCTCAGGGGGCAGGCTGACCAGGAGAGCAGGAGCCCTGTGAGGTCCTAGAGCCAAGCCCTCAAGGACCCTGCAGAGGTGGCCTTGGTTAAAGCCAAGGTGGTATCTCCCTGCTGAAGGTGCTCACCATCATCTCACCCTCCTTCCTCTAGGTGCCCTCATTGTCTGCCCTCCTGCCCACACTCCTGTGTGCTGTCCCTGACCAACTTTTAGTTGCATCCAGCTGGAGAAGACCCCACATCCATATTAAATAACAGATGCTGTAATGGGAAAATACTACCTAGTTTTGCTTGCTCAGCAGCATTGTTTGGAGTTGCATACTTTCTAATATAGACTGGAAATAAAATTCTGTTATCATCTGGTATCAAAATCGTCTTAGTAATAACTGCCATTCGTTAAAAGCACCAAACTTTGCCTAACACTGTGCCAGCTAGTTTACATACATCACATATATGTCTATAGTCCTACATGATAGACTTTATCAGACTCACTTTGCAGATAAAGAAGTTGGAATACTCTCAATTTCAAGGCTGGTGACAGAGCTGGACTAGACCCTGGTCTGAATTCCTTTACAGCCCACACTGTGCCACTCCTTCCAGTCTGAGGCACCCCTTGTGTCACTGAACTCATTCTTCTGCTCACTATTCCAAGACAGGGGAGGGTGAAAGGGGTAAAGGGGTACATATGTACAGTGGTGGATGGAAACTAGATTCTTGGTGGTAAACACAATAAAATTCTATTCACCATGGTAGTCTGTACAGAAGTCAAAATATAATGATGCACACCCGAAATTTATATAATGTTATAAACCAATATGACCTCAATTAAAAAAGGCAGACTTTCATACCCAAAATATTGCTTTGGAATACATAAGCAACAAAAATATCAAAATAAATGTGAGGTATGAATAAAGAAAGGAAGAAGTAGTATTTGGTGACAATATCATTATCTACAAAGGAAATGTCAGCAAACCGCAAAAGGTCAGGGGCTCACAGAATCATTTGGCTCAGCCCCTTCCCTGTAGAAAGTAAATCTATTAGAAGCCAAGTTCGCTAAGAGGTGAAGTCTGGCTAGTGAATAGAAGGAAGAGATCAGTGTGTTTTCTCTGATAGCACAACTGTCCTCAGCCCCCAGCCCGTGCTACAGCTTCTTCATCTCGCATCACTCCTGGGACTCAACCCTTCCTGTTTAAGAATTGAAGTAGGGAGACTAATCAAGAGTTTTCTAGGATGTGGCATTTCCCAGGAAGCCCTTCAGAGAAGAGATAGGAGTTAAGATGAGGACTGATGAACGAGGACTGAGGAGGAAAACATCACTTAATAACTGGAGTCGCAGAGACTGGTCTGTGTCTGCCCTCAGACCTAGAAGGCCAAGGCAGGACTGCCAGGCTGAGCATCCCCTCACTTATTTTCAGGGTTTTGAGGAGCATGAGAGCTCTGGTTTGTGTGGATGACTTTAAATTGAAAGACAGAGAAAACTCAGGGCCTGCCAGGAGTCAAGGTGAAGGTCCTGTGTGAGGACTGAGGGGACACCCCTAACGTGAACAGAGAGGGCCCCAAGGAGCCTGAATCTTAATGTCATCCTGGAAGGGCACAGGCAGGAGTGGCCTCATGTGGCATTCCCTGAATTTCCCTTTCTGTCACCCCAGGGAGTGAGGGCCTTGGTCTGTGGCTTTGAGACTTAGGACAGTAAATGGAGGCATCTCAGGCCCTGCCAGGAATCAAGGACAGAACCCTGAGTGACAACTGAGGGGACCCCAGAGCCCAGAACAGTTAGATGGCACAGAGACTGCCCCTGTCATAAACCCTGGGATGCCTTGGGCAGGGCTGTCAGGCTGACTGTAAGAAGGGTGTCAGAGATGTGAGGGCCTTGGTGTGAGGGGAGGGTCCTCAGGGAAGCAAAGAAAGGAGTCCCAGACCCTGCCAGGGGTCAAGGTGAAGACCCTGAGTGAGGACTGAGAGGACCACACCTTGCTGGTAGCCCTGGGATACCTGGGCATTGTTCGCATGATATGACATACTCACTTTCTTTTATGGTGTCACAAGAGGGTAAGGGACTTGGTCTAAGGGGTATGGTCTAAGGCCAGCATTGAGAGTATTTCCAGGTTCTTCCAGTGGCCAAAGTGAGTACTGTGAGGACTAAGGGAACTACATACCCCATAACAGTGTGGGAACGCCATAGAATTCATTCCTTACTCTCAGCCTCAGGAGACCAAGGACAGGTATGTTCAGATGAGGAGATCCTCACTACCTCCTAGGGGGTCTCAGGGTGGTGCTGGCCTTAGTATGAGGGGCAGCCCTTAGGGTAAGGGAAGGAGGAATTCCGGGCCATAACAAGTGTCAAAGCAAGGACTAAGGGACCATCCACCACTAAATAGAAGGGAAAACAAAGAACCTGGCCCCACTCCTAGCCTCAGCCTTTGAAGACCCAAGGCAGGGCTATCAAGCTAGAGCTCCCCCAACACCTATTTATGTCGGGTCTATGAGAAGTGAAATTGTTAGTTTGAAGGAGCAGCCACCACTCAATGTAAGGGGTGGGGACACCAGGCCCTATGGAGAGCCAAAAGCAAGGACTTTAATGAGGACTGAGGACCCCAAAGAGGCCAGGACAGGAAACTCCCCACTGAGCAGTCAGCACTGGGGGCACCTGGACAGGGGTAATAAGCTGAGGACCCCCTTTACTTCCTTCTCATGGGTCCCAGGGAGGTTTGTGATGTCAACTTCAGGACAGCAGAGGGAATGGGTCCCATGACTTGCCACCAGCTCAATGACGGTCTTGAATGTGAAATAAGAGACTCCTCAACCTAGAAGGCTGCTAGGCCCTGCTGTCACTCCAGTATGCCTGTGGCAGGGCTAGCAGGATGCACTCTAAGACTCACTCTAATTTCCTTCACAGGTGTCCTAAGGGATAAGCTAATTAGGAGAACAGGAGACTTGTGGGTTTTTAGAGCAGTGCCCTCAAGGAAAACTGCAAATGTAGCCTTCCTTATAAGCCAAGGTTGTATTCCATGCTGAAGGAGCACACACCCTCTCAACCCTCCTCCTCCAGGGGGCCCTCATCACCTGCCCTACTACTCATACTCCTGACTGTTGTCCCTGACCATAGTCGTCATGTCTCGGGGTCAAAAGAGTAAGCGCCGAACCCGTGAGAAACACCGCCACACCCAAGATGACTCCCAGAGTGACAGGAACATTCAGGCCACTGCAGCAACAGAAGAAGAGCCCCCTTCCTCCTCTTCTCCTGTTTTGGAGGGTAACTCCCAGAGTTTATCAGCTGTGGAGTCAAGTAGCACTTCCCACGGGTCTTGGATGGCCTCATCTACCAGCATTAATTCTCCAGGTATTTTTGGTAGAATATCTCATGAAGGTGACAATAACCAGGGTGAGGAACGTCCACATTCCTCCCAGGTCTTACTTTCTACTGGGAACTCATGCAGTGACATCCTAAATATAAAGGCGGATTTATTGGCACAGTACCTTCTGTACAAGTACAAAATGAAACAGCCCATTCTGAAGGAAGACATGCTGAGGCTTGTCCATCGAAACTATGAGGACCAATTTGCTGAGATTCTCAAGAGAGCTTCTGAGCTCATTGAGCTTGCATTTGCAGTTGAAGTGAAGGAAGCTGACTCAACCAGTCACTCATATGACCTTGTCAGCAAACTGAAGCTCCCCAACAATGGGAGGGTGCGAGGTGGCAGAGGGTTACCCAAGACTGGCCTCCTGATGAATATCCTGGGTATGATCTTCATAAAAGGAAATCATGTCACTGAGGAGGAGATCTGGAAATTTCTGAACATGATGCAAGTATATGCTGGGAGGAAGCACTACATCTATGGGGAGCCCAGGAAGCTCATCACCAAAGATTTGGTGAGGCTGCAATACCTGGAGTACCGGCAGGTGCCCAACAGTGATCCTCCACGTTATGAATTCCTGTGGGGCCCAAAAGCCCACGCTGAAACCAGCAAGATGGAAGTCCTGGAGTTCATGGCAAAAATCAATGATACCGTCCCTACCACTTTCCCATTACAGTACGAAGAAGCTTTGCAAGATGAGGAAGAGAGAGCTCTAGCCAGAGTCGCAGCCAGGCCTGGCACTACTGGCCATTGCCAAGCATGTTCCAGGGTTGCATCTAGCAGCTTCTCCCACCCCTATTGAAGTCTGAGGCTTTTTTTTTAATCATCCAGACAAGAAAATATGACATCACAATAGGGATTATCGTGGAAATGTGAAAGAATCCCAAAGTAAAATTGTTGGGATAATGGAATAGAAAAAAATAAAACATGATCAACTTTGATTTTCCTGACTCCATTCAGTCTTTTGTCTTGTAAAATTAAAAGATGTATGCATTCAGATGCTTAGCTCGCTAAAGAATGTAGGAGATATTAAGTATTAACAGTTAGACTTCTTACTCAGTTTCTCTTTTATTCCCCCAATATCAGTTGAGTATCTGCTCTTTGGAAGAGTCAGTGTTAGTAACTGGGGTGCTAAGATAGAGACCCAGCCTCTGCCGATAGAACTTTTGAAGGTAGTAGCTGCAATCTTATAAGGAAGATATTGAGATACCCTGTATGACTTACAGGAAAGTAAAAAGAGTGAGTGAGAAGAGAGGTGTTCCAGGTGAGAGCAGGAAAGTATCAATATGTTGAGGCAAGGCAGTTTAAGTTTTGGGAAGCTGCAAGTCAATCTGTGCCATGTGATTTTAAATTAAGCTACATGGTCGACTAGACAAGGCTGTGGTGAACAGAGGCCAGATCCTCAGATGATGTGCCTCAGAGCTGAGACAATATTTGAATAAAAAACTGCACTGTGCTGTTGATGCCAGCCCTGATATCAGTTCCTCTACATTAAACCCAGCATATGTGGGGTTAAAACCAAAGCACTCTTTCTCTGCTTATTCCCTGGCTCCCTGGCTCCAGAATCCACTATCTGCCTTGGAGACAAACAGCCAAGGTTGCCCACTTGGATTCCTTATCATCTCCTCCTCCTCCCTGCAAACAATGTCCCAAGGCCTAATGCAGTCTGGTGGGAAAACTCCAACCAGCAAGCCACTGACTACCCCCGCCTTTCTACAAGCAGCCACATTCCTCACAAACCTTTAAAACCCCTCACCTCTCCTCTTTAGATGAGATGAGATGAAATGAGACAAATTTGAGGGCTCACTCTTGTCTCCTGGCTGATATCACCCCAAATAAAAACTCTTTCCTTGCCATAAGCCTGGCATTCCAGTTTTTATTTGGCCCCTCTTTCATGGTGGGTAAAGAACCTATGTTTGTAGGTGGTAACAATCTGGTGAGCCAGCCAGGAGGCTCTTGCCCATGGCTGTGTGGCCCTTGGCTGACTGAGATTTCCTGGGAAGCAGTCCAGCACCTGCCTAAGTGATTTGCCCTAGGGACTGTCCCCAATACTTTCTGTCTGGCCCAGCACTGCTGATCCTAGGCACATTTTCTTATGGTGAGGAAACAGATTCTAGATTTGTTCGTTTGTTTGTTTCTTCATTTGTTCTTCATTCTGGTAAGTTGACAGACTCTAAAATAGGATAAGTCACCTCGGGGATGCCCATGAGCTTCCTTCCCCTTCTTTGAGTCCCTTCCATTCATGGAGAGGCCATCTGGGAGCGCATTTGGAGTGGGAATAGTTGTAGGACTTTCTACCCTCAATCTCGGAACCAAAATCTCTCACAATGGAATACAACCTTTAATTAATATGCAAAAACTTCTAAAACTCAAAGTTATTTAACATGATATAAAATGATCTTTGGTAAATGAAAGCCTGTTTAAGCTTGCTGGTTTGATTTAAAATAGGCATGACCGTAGAGTTATTAGCATTGGATGTGATGCAGACATACAGGCTAGGTTTACTGGGCAAGCGAGCTCATGTCATCTCTGTTAGAAAATTTGTCAACAAGCATAATAACTTAGAATAATACCTGATTTTGTTTAATGTCTCATGAGGTTTTTGTAGACAATCTAAATATAATTGTTGAGAACAGGTAAACTAAATAAACGTAAAAAGATAAATGCTTCTGGAGAATCTAACATGATTGCTAAAAACAAATAATTTAAATAGATAAAAATGGGTAAAAGTTTTTGAGTACAATAATTGTGTTTCATGGTCTGTATACTTTAAAAAAAGCTTCCAAAATATTTTTGGTACCTTAACACTTTCGTGTTTCACTAAGTTAAGTTAAATGACAAAATCTGTTGAGTATCTGGGTCATTTTTGGATAGGATGGAACACTGAAACATTATTGCTGAACATGTCTAAGTTTACCTACTTTTGGTTTCTTAAAACAGAAAAACTAAAAAGTGTTTGGGTCTACTAATAAACACACCTGTGTTTTATTACTATAAAGTAACATGGTTCTAAAAATTATGAAAGGTATTTGTAAATTTGTCAGGTTACAGAATGCTAATGTAAAGGAACGTTTATAATTGCTTACTTGGTTTTTTACTTAGAAATTAAGGTTTCTAAGGATTAAAAATTCTAGCTCACATATGTAATTAAAACTACTAAAAATTGATGAGGAAAAATCTTTGTATACAAGAAAAAGAAAATATATGTTTTCAGTAAGAAGATATAAAAAATAAAAGTATTTTTGCTTCTTGTGTTACAAAAAGGATAAATTTGCCCTAAAGTACTAGAAGGGAAAAAAGGAAACCTGGGACAAATTCTAAATATAAAAAAGTAAGTGACAAAAAGTTTACAAAGGTAAAAACCCTGAGGAATTTTATGCCTGGTCAAGTTGGCTAAGATTAAAATAAATTTAATTAAGTAAATAAATTTAAATGTCAAAAGGGAACTGGTAAAGGGGCTGGCCTGGTGGCACAGTGGTTAAGTGTGCACAATCCACTTCAGCAGCCCGGGGTTTGCCAGTTAGAATCCCGGGTGCGGAGATGGCACTGCTTGGCATGCCATGCTGTGGTAGGCGTTCCACATATAAAGTAGAGGAAGATGGGTATGAATGTTAGCTCAGGGCCGGTCTTCCTCATCAAAAAGAGGAGCACTGGCAGCAGATGTTAGCTCAGGGCTAATCTTCCTATAAAAAAAAATAAGTGAACTGGTACAAAATTAAAACGATGTCCTTTTTCTTAAACAGATAACTTTCCTAAACTTTTAGTCTGCTCTTGGTAAAACAAACAAACAAACAAACAAACAAACAAACAAAAAAACACTTTATAAAAGTTTTTTTCTGGATAATTGAGAGATCTTGTCAAGATGGTGGCATAAGCAGACTCTGAACTCATCTCCTCCCATGAACACAATCAGGTTATAGCTATTTTTGGAAAAATTACCCTGAGTAGAAAACTGGATAAAAAGAATCCCCACAACACGGGACAGTCCTGACTAAGGCTGAAGAGGCAGAAATTCATTCTGGAGAGAAAAAAAGCCACCTTTGGGAGCAGTGGTGTTTCTCAGCTCACCAGGCAGTAGCCACCTTAAGGTACACAGTCCTCCCCAGAGGAGTGAGGTCTGGAGCAGGGGCCGATACTGCTATAAGCATCCTTCAGACATGGTGGTGGTCACTGTGACCTAGTCCAGGCATGCTGACACAGACCCTGGTAGACACCATTGAAGTTCTTCCCCTGGCCTGTTAGCCCAGGGGTCTACCACACCCACTAGATTTAATCCAGTTCAGCCAGGTCAGGCATCTTGCCCTAGTGACAGGCACTACCCAACAGCAAGCCCTCAGGCTACTTGTCCACCTGCATTGACTGGGTGGTTTGATCCTCTACAGGCAGGCCAGTGTGCCTGCCTCTGTGGGGTAGGGACTGTGTGAGGACCAGGTGAACTGTGGGGGGCATTGGTGGAGAGGTGGGGACATCTGCAGTGGGCCATTGGAGTATGCTCCAGGCGGTGGGGAAGTGTGTATGGACCAGGACTGTGTTGACACTGTGTGTGGTCCTGTGAAGGGTGAGGCTTATCAGTGGCAGAAGACCTGTGCTTCACAAATAGGCATAAAAAGGATCAGCCCCACCTTCCAAAACCTGAAACAATTGAGTGCTCCTGTGCTAGGTCCAGCCCCACTCAGCTGAACTCCTAAAAGAAGTGACAACAGCCTTGTAGGCCTGAGGCCTATCGCAACTGTAAGCCCCTGAGCCTAGCAACCAGCTACACTGGGTACCTACCCAATTAACAGGAAAAATGCAACAGGAGTGTTCTGGTAGACCTTATAGCCAATGGGGCTGAGGCTCCCCAAATGGGATGTACAAATAGCTGGCCAGGGAAGGAAAGACTAGACTCCCTGGATGCCTGCATTAAGAGAAACCCTGCCACAGCAGAAGGACATAAGTAGCCCACAAAAGGGTCACTCCTGGATCATTTGGACTGGTGATGAGAGAGAAGCACACTACTGGGCCTCATAAGGCATCTCATACATAAGGCCACTTCTCCAAGATCAGGAGACATAGCTGACTCACCTAATACACAGAAATAAGCACAGAGAAAGAGGCATAATGAGGAGACAAAGTAATACTTTCCGAGCAAGGGAACAGGACAAAACCCCAGAAAAAGAACTACATGAAACAGAAACAAGTGACCTACCCAACAAAGAGTTCAAACAAAAACTCATAAGGCTTCTCACAGATATTGGGAGAAGACTGGATGAACACAGTGAGCTTATCAGCAAAGAACTGGAAAATATAAAAAAGAACCAATCAGAAATGAAGAAAACAATACTAGGAATGAAAAATTCACTAGAGGGACTCAACAGCAGAGTAGAGGATACAGAAGAATGGATCAGCAAGCTAGATGAAAGACCAGAGGAAATCACCCAAGCTGAACAGATAAAAGAAAAAAAGAATTAGACAGAATGAGAACAGTCTAAGGGAAACCTGGGACAATATCAAGCACACTAACATTTGTATTATAGGTATCCCAGAAGGAGAAGAGAGAGAAAAGGGGCAGAAAATTTATTTGCTCTTGGATTGGAAGAATTAACATAGTTAAAATGTCCATACTTCCTAAAGCAATCTATAGCTTCAATGCAATCCCTATCAAAGTTCCAACAGCATTTTTCACAGAAATAGAACAAATAATCCTAAAATTTATATGGAATAACAAAAGACCCCAAATAGCCAAAGTAATCCTGAGGAAAAAGAAAAAACTGGAGGTATCACACTCCCTGATTTCAAAATATACTACAAAGCCATAGTAACCATGACAGCATGGTACTGGGACAAAAAGACACACAGATCAATGGAACAGAATTGAGAGCCCAGAAATAAACCTGCACATTTATGGACAGCTAATATTCGACAAGGGAGCCAAGAGCATACAATGGAGAA